AAGGAAAAAGACAAAAAAAAAAAAAAAAAAAAAAAAAGAAAATAAAAAAGAAAAAAGAAATAAAAGAAAGAAGAAAAAGAAACCCTGAGACAAATTCACAGACCAACTTCCTTTATCATCTCCTAGTTTCCAGACTGAGCAAAGATCCCAAGGACAAAAAGGACACACAAGAGACATGGTTGCTGGTTGCCATCAACTTGGCCATCTTTGGCAAGAGCCCAGACACCCACATGTTCTGCATCTTCCCTGTTATACAACAGAGATCTGTGGTGGTCAGGAAGCATGGTGCTTGTTTCAGTTTACAAAGCAGAACCTACACGCCATTCACCAGCGGCCACTGGACCTTGAACAGACAGACGCCAGCCTCTCCCCATGAGTCAGTACCATTTGCAGGTCAGGGATAGAGAGAACAAAGCCGCATCAGCAAGTGATCCCCATCTAGGAACCAGCACCATGTGCAGGCCGCTGCCAGATTGGGCCAGACAGTCCCCAGCCCCATCCAGCGTGTGGGCTGGCAAACAAGAAGTACCACGCCCCAATTGTAGGTCTATGGCCAGTGGTCTGATCAGAGAATCAGGATAGTGCTCTAGGGGGGATCTCCTTCTGAGAGTTGTAGCCATTGTTGATTCCCTATGGTCTTATTTTGGAAGTCCTATATTGTTTCCATTGTTTTGTTGGGTTGGGTTTTATTCTCTTTTGTTTTCTTTGATTATGTCAAATTTGATGGCAGGAGCAGCTGTTTCAAAGATAACAAGATATATTATGGTAGCAATTTCAAATTTACTATAGGTTTGTTTTGAAGTCCTTTATTGCATTCATTGTTTTGTTTTTTATACAATTCTATTTGATTTTCACTATATCCAAAGTTATCTACAGCTTTTTTGAAGATATCAAAAGGCATTATGGTAGCTATTATTGATTTTGTAATATTTTGAAGTCCTGTATCTTTTACACTGGTTTGTTTTGATTGGTTTTATTGTTTTATTCTCTTTAAAATAAAAAAAAGGAAAAAATGAAAGCAGAACTACAAGATTGGAAAGCAAACTTGGAGTAGCCAGTCTGCTCATTTAGAAAAGTCTCAACTCAAGTTTAAACTGACACTCAGAGAGGGCAGGCAAGGCCAGGGCTAAAGGAGAGTGGGGCAGATGCACAGAGGAAAGGCACAAGGTCTCTGGGTTCTACTGCATCCCTACCATGATGGTGAATGTACAAGTTCTGTCACACTGGCCTGAGAAGTTGTGCATCCCAGGAATGAGGGTCACTCACACCAGCAGGTAAATGACTCAGCGTAGCTCAGCACAGGGGATGTGGAAACTGAGAGGCAAGGAGAATGATTTTAAGGTCAACTGCAGTCCTGACGCCAACTCAGAGGCTGAGTTTGTTGTTTGCCCATTCTTTTCATTAAAGGATTCCTCCAACAGGAGACAATGCAGAGAACTCTGTTGGAGTAATTCCCAAGTATATATGGAAAAACTGGGATCCTCACAGAACCTGAATAGACTCTGGTTAAATGGTAGATATGCTCAGACCCCACTATAAAGATCTGATTGAACTCAGATCTGATTGAATCTCTTCCATGTGGGTTGTGCTAGAAATCTTGAAAAATCTCAATTATCAAATTATACTGAAGCAGAGACAAGCCAGTTTCAAAAGAACCAATATTGTATCATTGCACTTATATAAGGTACCCACAAACATCAAAGTTTAAAAAATAGATAGTAAAATACTGGTTATGAGGATCTGGACCTAAAAGTAATATGGAAGTGTGATAGCTCAGACCCCGGAATAAATTCAAAGAAGCAAGAAATTAAGAAGTTTGGAGCAAAGGCTTTATTTCAAGCCTGGCAACGCAGCCTCCAATAGCCAATATGGAAGACTGCGTGCGCAACAGACTAAGGGCGGGATTTTTTTTTCCCTGAGGGCAGGATTTTTAAAGCTAAAAACCTGCAAAGCTGTTGACCTATTTCAGATAACATCTGGGATTCTTGGTACATTCCATTGCTCTCTGCAGTTAGGAACAGCACACCTTGCAGAAACATGCGGAAGGGGGGGTTGGGGGGATTTGCAAGAAGCTGAAACTTAAGTCTTCACTGGAAATGGAAATTTAATCCTATTAAAAATGGTGCATACAGAACAGAATGGACGTGCATTGGTTAGAGCTAGGCCATAACAGAAGTATTAGTTAAGAGACACAGAGGTTCATTTGGGGTAGAAGAGAGAGGTGTGGAGATGGCTAGTAGTCATGGCTGAGCAAATGTGAATGCTTTGAGTGCCACTAAATTGTGTAATTAAAAACTGTGAATACAGTAAATTCTGTGTTGTGTGTATTTTATCACATAAACATTGACATTACACACTCACCTAGTGGTAGGTCTTTTTCTTTGTGTCCAAGCACACCTTGGATATTTAGGACAGGAGGAGAGGATGGTCGATTGCAGAGGGTGTGTCACCAGTGTGATTTCTATCAGTGAAGACTCCCAGGGCACTTTAGGCTTTGATAACTACTTGGGGATTTCACTAACTTCACAGGATGCATCTAATTGCTCTAATTTGGAGACAATCCCAATTCTAAATACCCAAGATAGAAAGAGGTGGGTTCCATTGTCCTGGAGAATCCAAACTATCACTCTTGTGAAAATGTCTTTCTCGGTTTGCTAAATTCCCCACCTCCTCTGCAATCATTTTTCCCCCCTTCCTTAAGGAACTTTTTTTTTTTTTTTTGTCTTTTTCTTTTTTTATCGGTACCGGGGATTGAACTCATGACCACACACTTGTAAGGCAGGCGCTTATGCCGCTGAGCTAAATCCCCAGCCTCTTTGAATTCTCTGCTATGATTTGTCTCATGTTGCTGCTTTATATCACATATCATAGGCCTAGAATTTATGAGGCTAAGCAATAAGATTTAAAACAACTTTTTGTACCACTTTCAGGATACTTCTACCATTTAGATTTTCTATCTATTGTTAAGCAAAGTAGTGAACTTTTTTCTATCATTCCTACTTTGTCAAGTAATTTCACGTAAAATTTAATAAACATTTAAATTCTCTTGTACCATAAAGACCTTATTTTACCTTTTTCATGGTAACTTTGTGCATTTAATATTTCTAGAGGCTTTTTCTTTGTTGTGCCAGGATGACATTTTCCTTCTGCCACTAAGATACCATTTCAAAGACTTCCTGATCACTGAGCCTTTGCTTCCAGTCATTGGTTTCTGCTTTCATCTTTATCAATACAGTCATTTTTCTGGTTTAAATATTTTTTTCAAATTTCATTGAATTCTGTTCTGATATGATATGATAATCTCATCCTATTTTTAGTTTGTCTTTTCCTGCTTTTGCTTTTTTGTTTTTAATTTACATATCTTGAACTTTCTGCATATTTGATACACTGGGTTGAGCAAAGGTTTTGTTCTTTGATCCATAAATAAGATCAGTGTTATCAGATTCTTGTTCTACATGTTGCATTTGGAACAGAGAAGTTTTTGGTGTTATCTAGAGGGAAATGTGGGAGGTATAGCAGGCACTGGATGTACATCTTATTCCGCCCGCTCTCAGGGTCCCTGCTGGAGGGAAATAGTTATTACCCTTGGGACAAAGAGGTACTGCTGGTCAGAGATTGGACTTGCTCATGCGGTTTTCTTATCTCATATTTGATAATGCAACATTTGTACCTATGTTTTTTACATGAAAACAGCTGGTCTTTCCCATGGCCCTTGTGTACAGCATTCCCTATGATAGTTTGCAATTCTGTTATAGAAAGGCCTCCTCATTCCACGTCCCTGCTCCATTCTTTTCTGAATATATTCAGGCTCATTGTGAAGACGCTCTCCTTTTCTGTAGTCTGTCCATACCACATTCTCCATGGATCATACTACAGGAATGTCATTCAGCGTTCTCACTAATACAGAAAACTGAATCTGTCAGTACATTAATCAATTCATCAATGGTGGCAAATATACCCGTTGTGGGTTGTGGCTATTTAACACTTCAGTAGGAAATGTTTTTAATTCTGAAAATGTAGCTTTAGATAGATTTCAAGAAAAAGGACCCAATAAAGAAACCAGTTCTCCTTCTTCTTTCAACAGTCATTCCTAACACCATTAAAACGTGCTAAAAAATTTCCCATCCTTTAAAAATGTCTCTGAAGCTCACTTCCTCTTGACGCCAGGTCCAGACTCAACTCTCAGTGCACTAGACATGCAGTGTTCTTGGAAAGACTGCTGCTGTTCTCTGTCGTCTAACTGAAAACCTGAGACAGCTGTATAGATTTTTCAAATTCAGTATCAGAAAGTGACTTTGGCAAGCTTTTGGCACATATCAGTTTGTACTGTGAAGAGCTTTACAGTCACATTTTCTCAGTGATATATCCTATTTAATTCTGAAACATTTTTGCTTTCTTAAAGTTGCATTCTTTTCTGTGTCATCTATCTTCATGGTTGCTTTCTGGCAGTTATAGCAGTATGTATATTGAGTTTATTTTGCAAGACATAGAGGTCCAGGGCATAATATATCTGTGATAGAACATCTAAGTGGTGGCACCTTGGAAAGAGTCTGACACTTTAGACCTGTGATGGTGAATCTTTTAGAACTTTCTATGACACACAGAGCCCACTGTGGCACTTGAGCCATAGGTTTAATACCACTGCACACTGTAAGAGCTCCATCATCTACCAATTAATTGTTACAATCTGTATCAAGTGTCTACCTGACACTGGACTGAATTTCTATTGCAAATGAAGAAAACTGTACCAGATGATCTCTATGTGTTGACAACCATCTGCTGGGATCTGAGGAGACAGGTAAAGTTCTGTAGCACTGTATCCCTGTGCGGTCTCTGGGACCTTGACAGTGCCACCTACTGAGCAACAGGAAAGAAGCTAGCATTTGCAGATAAGGAAAATAAGGCCTGTGTAACTTTAGCCACGCCCATGAAACACCCAGTCAAGGAAGATATAAATGAGAAACTCAACTCGGCCCTCAGTCAAGTTCCTTCCTGGCAAGATGAAGTCCACCCTCTTCTTCATCCTTGCTCTGCTCCTCATTCTGGAGAACCAAGCATCTGGGAGGAGGCTGCGTGGTGAGTGGAGTGGGTCTGCAGGGTGGGGGACAGATATGCAGGACATTCTGGGGCTGAGGAGGGGAGCAACAAGTCTCCACCTATCACCACAGACAGTCCTTGTGGGAACCTCAAGAAGTCCCTGAAGAGAAGGTGAGAGATAAGAGCTAAAACAAAAATTTCTTAGAGAATGGAACCTAAATATTCTTTTATCAATTACTGAGAGAGTAGGAAGTCCAGTTACCTAATGCATTGCACCAATTTCTAAATAGATGAGAATTCTAACATTGTTCCGGACAAAAATGGCTAACATCAATCTGGATCACAAGACAGTTTTAGATCTAAATCAGTCAATGAGATTGATTTATCATAACTATCTATCATAACTAGAAGTGAATTCATAGTCAATTTTATTGACATCCACAACATAAATGAAAGTATCTGACCAACATCCAGATCGAAAACAAGAATCATTCACATCTAGGCAGATGAAGCACAAGTCATAATTATGTAGTTTATTGATGACAATAATCATAACTTGGAGCAAAATCCTGGTCTCGATCAAAGGGATAGCCAATATGTAAACAGAATGCCAGACAAGTAGCCAAGTAGAGAATAAGGGCCTCTCTGTTGCGGACACGACACAGCACAAAGTGAATCCAAGGCCATTTTGCTTTCCAAACCAAACAACTGCTATGTAACAAGGACCAAAGGGAAACAGAACATACCAAGGCCTATTTATACCACCTGTAAGTCCAAAATTCAAGGAGAATGACAGGGGGATATCAAAGCAAAAGTAAATCACAGACAACAAGATAGAATACAGAATGGACCCCAAGGCAGTGTCCTACCCAAACTCAGTAGCTAGCACATGATAAGGATAAAAGCCAGACATAGAAATTTAATTAAAAAGACAGGAATTGCCACAAACAAATGTAATGTCACAGAAGTAACCACATAGAGTGAATAAAAGTCCACTAATTCATGGCCAAAAGGTGGGACAGAAAGACGGTTCTTCAGTCATTTTTCCTACCCAAACCAATCAGGTGATCTAATGGCAAGGACCAATGTTAGAAGTCATAGTGAGGAGAATCTAAACAAAACAGTAACCTCAGAGTCATGTGTTATCCGGGGATAAAGTGAATTTCAGGGACTAAACTTTTATGATCACAAAAGAGTCAATTCAACTTTTGCTTTATACTGAATATTCTGTACTCTTTTGGGGTGGAGGGGTGCTGCGTTTTGAACTCAGGGCCTTTTCATGCTAAACATATGCTCCACCCCTGGGCTGTTCCTCAGCCTGAACACACGTTAACTGGAGAAAGAAAGAGTAATCAATCAATAACAAGTGAACAAAGGAAATAAACATTTTCAGATTTTAAAAAACTGTCCTTTAAAATGTGAAAAGGTTAATTTATAGTAGAGAAATGTTAAACAGAAACTTTTATGTGCTATCTTTTCTCACTTATAAGGTGCACAAAAGTTAAAAATTGAACACATTCTCTGTGTGAGGCTGGATGGAATCAGGTAATTTCATTCACAACAGGTGAGAATACAAAATGGTGCAATTCCTATCATGGGAAATAAGACAATATTGTTCAAGTTTCCCATGTCTTTAGCCTTTAGCAACTCTGTTTCTAGGCATGTCCCCTACTAGAAAGCAAGCCAAGAAAGGACACATGTAGTATAATGCATAATAGCAAAAAATTACAATCTATGAGTATAGCAATATGAGATTATTGAAAACTAAGGTAAACCATCAATGATTCACTCTACAACTTTAAAGCACACATACATACGCATGAATATATGTATACAACACACACACATACCCAGTAGCTCACCAACAATCTAAAATACTACCAACAACCACTAATTTATACCAATTAATGTGCTTCTTCTCCATCCAGAATGTTTTCTCCCATCTCTTCCTGAGTTATCTATTGCCCCAAATTTCATCTTCAAATTTTCCTCATTTTTTGAAATCAAGTTTGAATTTTATTATATATATATTCCCTTATTTTCTTTGTTTTGAGCCTTTAGAAGATGTATAATTCTAAATATTCTTTTTGGGGTCCAGTAGTTTACATCCAACATTATTTTAGTCACAATCATTCTGTGCGTGCTATATTGAAGTTATTTTCACAATTGTACAATATTTCATTATAATAATATGCCAGGGCATACTGGCATAGTAGAAATCTATGCTGTTTCCAACATTTGGCTAATAAAAACAGTACATCTATGTAAATTTTTCTTGGTAAAGTTTGAGAATATTTATTTTAATTTCATATTAGGTTTCATGATTCTTGGATCATAGATTGTGCATATGTGCAATTTGACTAACTAATGCCAAACTATATTTAAACAAGTTACAGTACATATTCTTTTTATCAATGTGTGAAAGGCTCTTTTCTCCTACAAATGCATATATTATTGATATTTCCATGTAATAAAACAGATAACTCAGACATAAGCAAGATATCAAAAGACCATTTTACAAAAGAAGATATTCAAATGAGCAATTAAGGTATGAGCAATCGCTTAGTTTCACAAGTCATCAGGGAAGTACAAATTTAAATCATAAGGAAATGTCACTAGATCACCACCAGAATGGGTACTGAAAAGACCAGACAATACCAACTCTGGGCAAGACTATGGAGTAACTAAACTCTCACATGTTGGCAGCAGAAATTGATACACTGATATGAAAAGTCATTTATCATATTTATGACATTTATCATATCTACACGCTATGATCTGTACCCCATGACCCAACAATTCCATCTCTAGCTATGTATACATTCAAATGTGCATTGTGATATTCTGTGAAGAATATGTATGGGATTGTTCAAAGCAAAATTACTTAGAAGAGCCAAACACTACAGCTAATCACTGTATATCAACAGTAAAGTGGAGACACGTATTTTGTATTTGCATAGAATAACATGATTAGATGGATATGTAGAAGGCACAAGGGTAAGCTTTAAAATAGGTGACTTTCACAGACATAATATGGAGCCAAAAGAAAAATGTGTATGAAAATAACACTCTCAGCTTCACCAACATAAAATTCTCAAATATGTGAATTTTAGAAACGGTATGTTCTACATAGTATATACCATTCTATGTAGAAATGGCATGTTTTATATTTTGTTTGAATAGTTTATTTAGTAGTGGGTTTGGTAGACATTTCAGCGCATTCCAACATGCTGACTGTTTTACATCTCGCTGCCAGTTTCAGCTTTCGCTTCAGCTATGCGTGTAGTTTGAGTTCAGTGAGACCAAGGGTAGGTTTCAAGCCACAGTTTCATTTTCTAATAGTCATACTGTTTCCTCCTTCTCTCATCTCAGCCTCCGCTCGGTGACTCCCAGCCTTCTGGTTCTGTCTGCTCCCGATAACATCTTGAACTTGGGTATTTCTCTTACTCTAAACTTTTGTTGACAAAGACAGATACAACCTGGTCACGGTGGCACAGGCTTGTGACCTCAGCACTCAGGAGGCTGAACCAGGAAGACTGTCACAAATGTGAGGCCAACCTGGGCTACACAGTGAGTTCAAAGCTAACCTGCACTACATGGTGAGACCCTGTCTCGAGAAAAAGATAAAGACAGGTACTAAATCAGACTAGCTTAGATGGAAGATTAGATAACCATAACCTAGAAAAGGCACGGGAAGTTAAGGAGCAGGAAAGGATGGCTGATGTCATCATTTTTTCTCACTCTTCCCTCTGCTTTTCTTGGGGTCTTAAGGTTCATTTTTCTCAGATAATTCATCTCTATCTCTGTAAAAGTATAGCTTCTGGCATCTCCAGATCGTATACAGTATTTTTAACAAAAGAAAGAACTCACTTATCTCTACCATCCATAAAATAAAGACTTTCTCGTTAGTCCTGGGTGACACACTCCTGCACACACACTCACACACCTGTTTCTGTGGACAGGGGGCAGGATTTCATGATTACAAGCTCCTGCTAGAGTTGTACATCGATAATAGGTTTAAAAAAACCCAACTCTTCAGAAGAGGCAAGGTGCTGTTGTGCAAAAGATAGAGGCATGTTAGACACTGCAAGTATCCACCTTAGATGTGACTTGTGTTTTATTTTTTAAATATTGGAGTCATTTCTCCCTCTTGCCATACCGTGATTTCAAGGATGTCAAGATCTAAAATTCCACCTCCCAATTAATTTCTTGGTGCATCTCAAAGGTTTATAAAATGCAAAGGGCAGCAAAGGTGGCTCCAGAGCAGCCGAGTGAATCGGAGCAGGGCTGAGCTGGTGAAGATGCAGCTCACGGGGACCTGACGGGGTTCCCCATGCGTTCCAGACGGGAAGCATTTTGGGGGCAGGATGCACACTTTAGCCTTATGGCCTTTTCTCTTAGGTCCAGAGAAACAGTAGACTCCCACACTTTCCAATCTAGTGATTGAGACCTGAGCATCTTTTATACAAGCTGTATGGTTGTGTGTCTTTGCCTCAGGGGTCATTGTCAGTGCAGAACATGCATCAAAGTGACAAGCCCAAGACTCACTCTGTGTACTGTGTGTAGACTCGGAGTGCCGGTTGTGGACTCTGTCCCCAGCCTTCCTGCTCAATAAAACACCCAAATAATCTGTCTTCTTCTAATAGGAGGTTAAGAAACAGAGAAGTCATGCCAGTAGAGGACCTGAGGTTCACAAAATAGAAACTGAGATGGAGAGAGGAGTCAAAAATTGTCAAAATAATTTCCAGAGCAAGCTTGGAATTTAAGTTACCTGGTTTGTGACCAAGGCCCTTTTTCCCTTCTCTCAGCTTCCTAAGAAATAACAAAGGATCCTTCTCCTGTCAGGGTGTCAGCTCAGTCTGGGACCAGCTCCTGAGAAGAAGACAATGCCAGATAGGGAAAGAAACAAATTGTGAGGGAACTGTGGTCTTGTAGCCCCTGTCCACAGAGAAGGGAATGGCTTTTGGGAGCACAGATGCCAGCGATCCTTGGAGCACCTCCTCTGCTTCTAGGCATGGTTTGGAGTAGACTGCAGAGAGCAGTGGCTGGACATACAGGAAAGATATTCTCAGGTTGAGAGTAATTTTCTTTTCTTTTTCTTTTTTTTTTTTTTTGTCTTTTTCTTTTTTATCGGTACCGGGGCTTGAACTCATGACCACACACTTGTAAGGCAGGTGCTTTGCCGTTGACCTAAATCCCCCACTCCAGGAAAGATATTCTAATGAAATGGGCATAACGGATCTACCTGTGAGTGCATTTCTCTCTTAGCAGGTTCCGCTAGAGCACAAGATCCTGTGGTAAGCCGTGTTTGGCACAAAGAAGAGGTGGAAGAATCAGAATCAAGCCGAGGTCAAGATTTTGACAAACGCCGCTTTTGGGAGAAAGATGACCCCACGGGAGAACACGTTTCAGTGAGACATGAACATCTTGAGAAAAGTCACATTCGGTTCAAAGAAGATTCCATTGATGACTCAGGTTCAGCTGGAGGTCTCAATCCTTTAAAAGGACACCTTCGGCTCAAACGACATGATGCCATGGAAGAACTAGTTTCAGTTGAAGATCAAGCTTTAGCTAACGGTGCAGATCCTGGGAAAAGTAACATGCAACGTGTGTGACCCCTTTAAGGTGAGTATTAGCCGGAAGAAGAGGGAACCCATGCTGTTAGGAAAGTCTGAGTGACAGGCAGTGATGTCAGGATGTGGGAAGGGGAAATGGTGAAGTACTGGACGGACTGAGATTGTGAGGGGTCTCAAAGGCCATAAGCAAGGTGCAGAGAGGGATGTCCCTTCACTGAGTTAGAGTGCTTTCACCTGATGAGTCACATCTCTGATTCTCTTCTCCCCGACCAGGTCCATCCTGTCCTGGCTGTACCTGTCCTTGGCCCAGGCCTGAAGGCCTCTCTGTAATCCCAGCTGCCGATAGCACGACGCTTTCATACACTGCCCATTCTCCCATTCTGGATGCCCAAGCATGTCACTGCCTTTCTCAACCTACTTTCCAATAAAAAGATCTTCTGCTTCAATGTATTTCTGGCTCTTCTGATTTCTGGGGTCCTAGAAGCTCCAGGGAGGTGGATATAAATGTAGCACTCAGCCTCCCCATGGAAAGGAAAAGGACCCAGAAGATGAGTTTCTGGGGTGCAAAGGAGAACAGAACCAGAAACGAGAGCTCCATTCCTAGGGTTTAGTGTTAGAAATCCAGTAATCAGCCCAAGTACTGCAGTATGCATGTCAGCAGGAATTGAAAATCTGCAAAGCTTGTCTTTGCCTAGAACCAGAAAGACAACACACAGAAATAAAAAACAAAACACGTTGTGCAAACAACAGACATGTGGTTTCCCCTTTCCAATTCTCTGTCAGCCCTGCAATCAGCCCTGCAGTGTGACCAGCTAACACTGGGGTAAACTGATGGCTCCCTCCTTCCTTTCCACTAACAATCTCAGGAATCCATATCTTTCTCCAAAGACAGGAAAAGATGATATTATTAGTGCTGGGCAAGCCTTGCTCATTAAGAATTTCAGGGGTTTGAGCTTGAGATTCTCCCACTAAGGTAACATTCTTTTAGCTTAAACAACGTCCTCCCTCAGGCTCCTGCTTTAAAATGTGAAGAAAGACTCAAGACACACTAAGCCCATAACACTGTCTTGTATGAATAGTGTTCTCCAGAGATATACAATCATCTGAGGGCTAGTAGTGCAAATAAAGGGGGAAAATATGTTGGACAACTAGAGAAAAGCTCTGGGTGTGGGTTTGATTCACCTTCCCCATTGCCCCTTACCAGGAAGTTTCCAAGGGAGGGCAAAGCCTGGGGAGGAGGGATGAGGTGAAAAGAGTGTGAGCTTTGGGTTAAGTGTTCTGCGAGCTATCACCAGCTTTGCTTTGCGCTCTTTGGGTGACTCCAGACAGATCTCTATTTTTCAATGAGCCTTGAGTCTCTATTTAAGTGGACAAGTTTATATATAATTACTGAGGACATCCTCTCTAACCCTGTCATTTTGAAATCTGAATCAACTACTCGTTCCATAGGTACATAACCAAAAGAATGTTGCTTCCTAGAAAGCATGTCCCATAAAATTGGAATAGACATGTCCCAACAGATGCACAAATTTCTTTTTTTTTATTTAAAGAGAAAAAAGAAAGGAAATAAAAAAACAAAGCAGTAAAAGGGTACAAATAATACAGAATGTCAAGGAAAGAATATACAGTAAGAAATCACTAGTTAATAGGTTACGTATTGTCATCTTAGAAACAGTTGTCCAAATTATAAAATTAAAGCATATAAAGTGGACATTCATACAGTGAGATTGCAGACAGTTCCGTTCAATGATCCAACAAAAGCTCAGTAATATGGTTTTCCATCCTACACACCCAAACATACATGCAGTTATATCCCTTAGACCACCTTTTTTTCTTCTCTTTTTTTCAATAACAATTACACTTTTTGGTTTTTTTTACTTCCACAGTTCTTATTACTTTTTTTGAAGAGAATAAAACCTAACGTGACTAAACAAAACTTAGAACAGAAGGATGGGCATAGTACATGATGCAAAGATAGAATATCAGGTGATCAAAAATGGTTACCATTGTCAGATGCACAAATTTCAACATAACATTCCAAAAAAATGAAAAATCAAATGAACATGACACCTCCTATAGTTTATAACTTCCTAGTACTTATTCCAAAGATACTGAGATGGATAATTTCTTGACAAATAAATTCCAAACATATTGAAGAGGATGAAATGTCAGACAAATAATTCAAAAGAATTACATTTTTAAAAAACTCAGTGAATTCTAAGAAGAAACAAATACACAATTGAATGAACTAAAGAAGACATTGCAGAATATGAAGGAGCAATTCAACGAAGAGATAAGATTTTTGAAAAAGAGTGAAACAGAAACCTTGGAGAAAAGCTCAATGAGTCAAATTTTAAGTCAGTTGAAAACCCATAATAGACTAGATCTGGGTCTCCATTACACATAATTGGAACAGAAGGAGAAGAGTTACAGGTTGAAAGTACAGAAAAATATGCAGTGAAATAATATCAGAAAATTTCCCAAATTTTAGGAAAGGTATATATATTGGATACAAGGAAAATTAATATTCATGACCAGAAAAGAACATCTCCACAACATATTGTGATTAAACTACCAAATGTACAAAACAAAGAAAGAATTCTAAAAGTTGCAAGAAAGAAGCACCAACTCACATTTAAAAGCCAACTCATCTGAATAACAGCAGTTTTCAGCAGAAACACAAAAAGCTGGAGGGGCATGAAATGAGGCATTTCAGGTCCTAGAAAAAAAATTAACTGCCAATCTCAGTTATTATACCCAGCAAAATTTTTCTTCATGATTTAAGAATGAATAAAGTTTATGCTTCTAAAGTAAACTAAAGAATAAGCATAAACTAAAGAAACTCATGAGCACTAAGTAACAATTACAGAATACCTAGGGGAATTCCAAACAGATTAGGAAGAAAACATAATCATGAGAGTATAGAGAAGAAACATCTCACTAGAAGAGTATACTAGCAAAAAAAAAGGTAGAAAATAACTGACTATTACTAATATAGTGAGTTATCAAAATTCTAAGATGAGTAGAGAGAAAAAATGGACATAAATAAAACAATCAGAAGAAAATTAACAAAATGAGAGAATTTAGTACATACCCTTAAATAATAACCTTGAATGTAAATTACTTTAATTCTTTTGTTAAAAGACATGGATTGGCTGATCATACTTTTAAAAATATCCAACAATTTGCTGCCTGCACAAAACTCACCTCCCTGGCAAAGACATACAGACTGAAGATGAAAGGATAGAAAATGATGCTTCAAACAAATGGAATCCAAAGCCAACCAAAAAAAGTAGATATAAAGATGTCCAACAAAACAGGCAGAAATCAGAAGACAAAGAAGATAATATCATAAGAATAAAGGGAAAAAACTAGGCCAAAATATATAATGATATAATATATACATGCCGAATACCAGAGAACACAATTTTGTAAAACAAACACTACTGGATATTGAGGTATGGAAAGACTCCAATATAATAATAGTGAATTACTTCAACCCTGCATTCTCACTAATTGGCAGATCATCAAGGCAGATCATTTACAAAGAAACATTAGGGTTAAGTTACACTATATATAAAATGCACTTAAATAGACATCTACAGAATATTTCATCCAGTGGTTATAGAACATACATTCTTTTATTCTTTCAGTAGCACTGGGTCATTTTCCAAAATAAATTATATTTTAGGCCATACAACAAATATTAACATTTTTTAAAAATGATATAATTTCTTGTATTGTAATAAACAGTAAGAGAAACTGGAGAAATTAAACAAACACAGGAAGATTGACTAAAGACTGGGTCATTCTTACACATGTAAACATTGTATTATCTCCCTAGTGTGAGAAACTGAAAGAGTAAATGAAGTAAGAATGTACAGTAGACATTGTGAATTAGGCAGAAATTGTTCAAAAGGAAAAAGGAACTAGGGCAAACAATTCAACAGAAAGAAGGCATAGAGAACCAACAGCAAGAAAATATCATGACAAAAGTCAATACATGTCAGTTATAATCACTAGTGTAAATGGCCTCATTTCACCAATCAAAAGAAGCAGACTGGAAAAGTGGCTCAAGAAACAAGATCCAGGAGATCAGCACCACGTTGGAACTTAGGGTGCTGGGCAACAAAGGAACCCATTTGCCTCCCTGGTAAGCAGCAGGGGCTGGACCAAGCGACAGGTGATGCAGGGAGAGAACCAGCCATCCAGCATCTCCTGCTCCATGTTGGAACTTATGGCACTGGGCAACAAAACAATCTGCTTGGAATTTCAAAAATGGCAGCTTGCTAGGGGATTGGGCAGAGAGTCTGCGGAGAAATCATATTAGATGCTAGAATATGATAACACGGAGAGGGCCAAATGGATAGATAACGATTCTTACTAACCAAGGTGGTAACTGAAGGGAAAAATAAAACTGGGAAAAGGAAGGAAAAGCGCGGATAGAGAGCTGGAGTCCAATGTACTCACTGAGCCCCATTTCATGCTGTACTAGGCGCGGCCAGAGGATTTAAGGTCGTGCTGAGACTGTGGCTGCTGATAATGGGAGTCTGCGAATCCTGCACCTTTAATGCGGCAGACTGACCAGTGGATCCAAGAAGAAAAGCTGTATTGGCTTTTGGTGACTGTTAGAAATTGAGACCTGGGACCCCGCAAAGCAGCCAGGGCCACCTGGCTGCACTGGAGGAGACTGCAAGAAGTTCCGGAGCTCCGAAGCCAGACACCATGCAGTTTTCTGACCGATCCATGCTGTGCCAGGAACGCAGTGAAGACAAGCGGCACTATGTGCAGTGGAACCAAGAGGAATATCTGCATTGACTCCTAGTGAGTACTAGGGACCGGGTCCCCCGCGGCTGCTGTTGCTGGCTGGAGGACATCTTGGAATTGGGCAGAGCCCGTGCCATGGTGACATCAGACAGTTGCCCCTGGCGCAGAGAGGTCTGGTGGAGGACATCTTGAAATTGGGGAGAGCCCGATGCTGTGATGGCGTCAGCAATACAGAGAGAACTAGTGGAGGACATCTTGGAATTGGGCAGATCGGCACCATGGTGACATTAGATAGTCGCTCCTGGCACAGAGAGTTCTACTAGAGGACAGCTGGGATTTGGGCAGAGCCCTGTGCTGCAGTGACATTAGTCAGCCCCTTCTGGCACAGAGAGAACTGGCAAGATCTTTTGGGGCTGAACCAAGCCTCTGGTTGAGACCCAATAAGCAGATACAAAATAGTCACGACTCTGTGACATCCACAAAGTACAGCCTAACTTGCAGATTGACTGACACAGAGGCTGGAGGCTAGCCTGAACCGTCCTTGCATCCCTGCCTAACTCAGATAACAGCAAGTTGGGGAGGGCAGCAAAAACTCAAGTCAGCACGCTTCAGAAAGGCCCTTAGCAATACAGAGAGGGCCAGAGACCTCCAGGACACTCCAGTCTGAAAGAAACCAGAAACAT